TTTTTTTTCAAAATATCGAAAAATATCGAAATATATTTTAAAAAGCGTCAAAAATACCATTTTTAGGCTTGTATTTAACATCGTTTAAGTATGTAGCCTATACATCCTTAAACGATAAACGTAAGACTAGAATGCGAAGCTTCGGAAACTGCAATTGATGTTCGAAATTCTTGAAGATAAGTGTATCAATCGTTGCGAAACGATACGAACTTGTTTGTGTGTTAAAAATCGGCGATCGGAACGGTACACGTAATCCATAGGCGTGTAAGTCTCGAATGTCACCGGGCAGCCTTTCACGGTGCAATGAACATTCCTCGCGAGCTGAAGGAAAGTACAATGTTGCTACCGCGTATGATTAATAATTTATAGCGTGTTCTCTCTTTGCATTTTCTCTCTTATGAAAGTCAATACGTACCCGTTTCTCAGGTCTAATGCAAATTCAAGAAGCTATGTACAGCCATTTCGTTGCTCGAACTTACTACGAGCACTCTTCGCGAGTATATAAACGTTCGGCTCGTAATATCGAAAGAACGTGCCGATGCACTCCCCTCGGAAGGGGTTCGAGACTGTTGGCAGGTGTCCAACCGGGCATGAAAAACCGGCCCGGGACAAGTCGATTTTTCTTCGCGATTCTTTCAATCTGGCGCCGTGGCTGTTGCAATTTCGTGTCAGTGGTACCGGCATCGAGGTTGCTGTCAAGGTAGTCGCGATCGAAAGCTTCAGGATCTAGGAAAGCGTGTCGCCAGCAAATACGATTTATTAGTGGCAGAACCGACGATCAAACGTTTGCTTACTAAAGACTAGAGCTTGTTATTCAGTAGGAATTATGTTGTTAGTGGCTCGAAACTGATTACACGCGTGTTTCTACCGGAAGTAGCTGCCTGGAAGTATCATGTGATCTTTTTTAGAGCGCATTCGTTCGCATGCACTTTCAGTGTAACTTTAATCGTCTGTTCCGGCTTCTGTTCTACGATGCGTATGACTCATTCTATTTTTCTACTGGAAATTCCACCGTATCCTTGCCTAATTTTCAATGAGTCACAACGAGGAATCATATTTACGTGACCCAGTTTTATCGACCGTCTATTCTTATTATCAGTAATTTTGTATAATTATGTACCCAACCAGAATGATTCATATTTGTTACAATCAACATTATATAATTGCTGCAGGTTGGTAACTAAATAATTGCTGAGTTTGTCGATAGACCTCTTACTTAAAGTCCGCAATCACTTAGTTGACAACCCAATATGTCCCAGAAGAATAGGCTTCATGACTCGTCTTTTACTCCGTCGTACAGCTAGTAATGAAAACCAGCTTACGTTTGTGTTAGTTTCCCTTAGAGGAACATAATTCAAAACGAATAATAAGTCTACGTCTTGTTTTTCAATCGACTGGCATCAATACTGTTTAACATAATTTTGACGTGTTAAAATAAAAAGAATTTCAAATAAAAAGAATTTGGTGGTAATGAGCGTAAGTTAAAATTGGTTTTACCTTAACACTTCAAAATTATGTTAAAATCCAACAGTATCGATGCCAGAACGAGCATTAAAACAAGAAGACAGATTTATTACTAGTTTTAAATTTTGTCCCTTTAAAGAAAACTAACACAAACCTAAGCTGGCTCAGTTTCACTGTTACTGGCTATACAATATCCAATCTATCGCGGGTTAACAACCAGGACCGCCGAAGCTGTTGGAAGGACTTCAAACAGATCGGAAGCATCGTGGGCGATAGTACGAGTCCTCCACAATGCGGTTGCATAATTTTACCGTGTTTCTTCTTACGCAAGTCGTACGGCCTGTCATTATCCATGTATCGAGGTCGCCGGATAATGAAAACGTACCACCCGGTACGTTTCCACATTCGGTTTCTGTATTTTAAGCTCGCTCTTAATTCTTCAGGCATATTTGAAGATTGCGAATTCTTTTGAATCATCAATCAGATCTGACGATTAATCCAAATTAGCAAACGTCGGTGATTATCTTGATCGGAAATCATTTAATAAATCATAATTATAATTATGTAAGAAATCACGTGATGTGAATAGTTTCAGTAAAATATCGTACAGAGTCTCGTTCGCTTGTATCTTTTGCGATATACGATTTATGAATGGGCGTTAATAATGCTGTGATAAAAGTGTACGGAATGCCTATATGCGAGGCTTCCTTTTTGTCAACCGAGATTTGAAAGAGCCAACGGTAGTCCAAACATTCCGGTTGTTTCTAATGCGACAAAAGGCGTCCGCTATAGCCAGACAGATCTTTATCCGACCCCTGCAGACAGAGTGTCCTGGCTGCGATGGCATTCTCTTCTTTTATAATGAATACAGCACACGCACACGTGAACCAGCGTTTCATACCTGTACGAGCAAGACCGGTGCACAATGCAAGCGACACGCGTACTCGAGACCCGTATTTCTTACATCGTGCGAACCGTTCCGTGAATAAAATACATTCGCAGAAAATTAGGTGTGGAAAACTGGCGTATACGTCGTTCATTCTGTTTTGCAGTCACTCTTATTACGATATGCCTTTCATTATTTTCGCTGACCTCATAGTCATCTGACTGGGGAGATTAGGGGATTGCTTCAAGATTATCCAGTGTTGAACGACTCAGGGTTTAAGACGAGTTTAGTATTCCTTGCACGAAACTGGCTTTCCTCGCGGTCTTCGGCCACGGGGAATTATTTCCGAGAGATTATCATTCCCCTCGCCCAGGGCTTTTCCAACATTCTTCCAGGGATTCCAGATGCAAGCCTTTGGATGCATCGACGCTACTTTTATATTATTAAAAAATATGAACTTGTTTATAAGCCAGTTCTTAATAAATGCGGAATAAGGGAGGCTCAGAATAAAAAGAGACATCGAGAATTCTCGTACTCATGAATCTGACTATATTTACGATCTCGCGTTGCGGAGAACATTTTTCATAAATTCCACGTTCTGAAAGGCTTGGGAAATAGGAAGGAAACGCGCATCGACGATTTTCACATTCACGAATCTGACATAATATTTACGATCTCCCTTTGGGACGGAGAACGTTCTTAATAAATTCTACATACTGAAAGGCGAGAAAAGAACGATTGTAGCACTGTGACTTAATATTTATGATCGCCTCGCGACAGCCTTGGTCGAGAGTGGAAGATCGTCGATTTTCTATAGACACTTCCTCTCACCGGTTTCGTAAGATCGCTAGATAGAATCGACTAGGTAATCAGCGTGAACGTTATCGCAACGCGTGACGACGCGACGGTGGGCGAGCGTTAACGTTCCCTCATTTTTCTCTCGCTGCACCGGTTGAATCTCGGTGGGCGAGTTTTCTGACGTGACGGCAGTTCGACAACGGCAAGGACGGACACGCTCGCGATCGTCCGGTTAAGATACCTTGTAAGGAGGGACAGCGAGGCCGTTCCCGTTCCTTTCCGTTCGGAAACTCTCCTTTCTTTCGGCCCTACATTCGTTTCTCGGAATCCGATCGTCGTATCTAACGTCGATCGCTATGGGAAAATGTCTGCGAGTGTCGCAAACCGCGAGGAAAAACACTCAGCGATACCGTCGACCTCCTCTTCACGAATCTCACGGTGTCTATAAACATTTTTAATTAACATGATTTTAATTAACAAGATTAAATATAATGACGATAATAAATAATGAATATAAGATGTTATTTAGTTAAATAAATAAATAAATAAATACGTCTCAATAAATAATTGCGATATTTCGTAAAGAATATATAAGATAATATATATATATTTCGTAAAGAATATATAAGATAAAGTATATATAAGTTCATGTATAAGAAATTACTCCTCGTTTTAAAACTCGTAAGCTTAGATAAACGTGACACTGAAAAAGAAGTAGAGAAATCTGTCTCTCGTTTGTGGGTTACCATTCGCGTTATACTCCGTCCTGAATCAATCATTGAACGGTACAGTTTTATCATGAATTTGACACGCATTTCTCATACAATCGTCCTCATAGAATAATATTTAAAAAAATCGAACATTAATTTTATGGAGAAATTTTCATTGTTGATCGATGAGGAAAATTTAATTTCCAGGGCCGCAGAAATTCTTGCCGCCGTTGGTTTACCACCGGCGATTAGGTCGATGTTTAGCAGCGTTGCAAGCGATCCTCGGCGTCGCGGTTACTTCGTTATCGTTATGGTTATTGATGTGGGCACCGCATCTCCCAGTGGATGATAACCCGTACTGGAGCGGAATGCCGGTTAGTACGTCTGACCGTCTCTTATTAATCCTGATAAAACGGCAAATCGTTTATCTACCTCCTCGCATTTTACAGTTACTACTCTCCGGCTGCTTTGGAATATGTTTATTATACTGCTTTAAGAAGGAGTATCACGGCATGAGTCCTGGATTCTGTCTCGCCGCTACTAAGGTAATTATTTTTCATCGAATTTTATTCGAAACATTTTTTTTTTACCTGTAGCCTTTCGGCTCAGCAAGTGCCTCACTTCTCCTTTCCTCCTGAACCTCCAGTAGTTCCTCTTTATTTTTTTCCATTTCGCGTTCGCCCAGGGTGCTGTTTGTGGAGCGGGGAGAGTCTTCAGTAGGCAAACCCAGTGGGATAAATCCTACCTCGGAAAACCCGCTCCGATGGTTGGTATCTTAGGTATCCCATTGGATGTCTGGATCACATTTTATAGACTTAGAATTTGAACCGATTGCACTTTTATTCGAATTGTAACAACGATATTTATCTCAATTCAACATATTTTCGTTGATTTCATTTTATTTAACAATTTCGTGTTTAACGATAAAAACAGGATTTCCTGAATTTCGATTATGGTTTTTTCATTTCTACTGAATAGGTGATCAGCGTATTATTGGCGATCCTGGCGACGATCACCTGCTCAATCGCTTGCGCGTTCGCGGTGATGCACCTGGTCCGTTTGATGGGAATGGATTGCAACCCAGCGCGGGTACTGAACGTAACGTGCGTGTGCAAACCCCGCGTGGAAGCGACGAATTCCACGGAAACAGCGGTGAGGTATTTGGACCTGAGCTGCCCCGAGGTCGAGAACATCCTTACCATATTTCTGATCTTCTCTTCCACCTGCAATGCGCTGGGAGTCCTGGTGTCTGGCTGGTACGCTTACCTGCACTGGAGCACCAGGCGTAAAAGGCCGAAGTACATGCAAGTGAGAACCAGCCCGAGCACCGGGACCAACTTCCTCAGCGGCAGACCGATTTATAATCCGAATCTGAACGAACGATGACAGTCTGCGGAGCACGAGGACACCTACCTCCGTTATTCCTCGTTGACGATGGACGACGGACCGTTCGGAACGCTTCCATAGACGCCACGGGACAGTTTTGTTGCACGAGAAATTCGTTATAGAATTTTTTTTTACACACGCTTTCGAACGAGTTTCGCGTTCATCGGGGACAGGAAGCAAAGGCTGACATAATAATCGCGCGAACTAGTCTCGGTTGTGAGTAGTTCTTAGAAGTCTGTGTTCTAGATACAGAACGATCGTTTTCTCACGATCGGATGAGGAGACCAGATGGCTAATGGGACGTATCGTTTAACAATCTTAACGTATCTTTAATATTTATTACCGTAGTCTCTAAGGTTTTCGAAGAGGACGTAACTGCATTTAGCGTAGTGTAATATTTGTAGGCTTTATTACTCGATAACTTGACAGAAATCAACGAATGAATTACCTTAAGGCCGGAGAATTAAATAATTAAATGTTAATGCGGAACATATCATCAATACGATCGAGAGATCATTAGGTTAATCAAGAGAAAATTGATACGATTTTTAATATCAATGCTATTTATGAAAATTATATGGGAATTCAATTATGAATGCGCTCGGATCACGGGTTGATCCGCGCGTAATTAATTAACAAACAATGTGAAATCCTCGCATTCGTATGAAAGTATTTTCTCATTCGACTTTTTTGCATATTCACCTTCAGGATATACCCCTGAATAAAAATCAAATAGAAATCTCATGCATATTTGTTTTATCAAATTTTTTTGAAGCCAAGTTCCAAAATTTTGATTTTGTGACCCGAATGAATTTTTCTTAGGTTTCTTGGATCATTTTAAATAAAAAGAATCTCTTGTCATTTATTAATAAAGTTGAAATAATTTAACGCTTGAAAAAAGAAAGCTACGGTTCTCAAGACTGAAAAGCAATTTTTAAGTTCATCAAAATTATTAAATCTTTGAACATCCCTTAACAAAAATCTGAAAAGTAATTACAGATTATTTCATACTAAAGCTTTTTTTTTAAACAATTTTTTTTTTTTAAGTTCTGAATTGAATATGCAAAAGAATCGAATGGGAAAAGTACTTTCATAGGAATGCGAAGTTTTCACCTTGTCTATTAATACTGCGCGGATCTTAGATGTTATACATTTAATTACCAATTAAGTGTCTCGTATGGATGTCGCATGTTTCGTATACGTCTGTTACACACGCAAGCAAACGGTTCGATTTTATCGAGGACGAATGACACACTTTCGCATGTGTTCGAATTTTATACCTCACGATAGTTGACTTCACGGTTCAATACGACGAAGTTTTTGTCGCATGTTTGATATAAATAAACGGAGAAATAAATCATCTCAGTATTAAGCCTGTGAACGTCGGGTTATCTTTATTTAAATGTACTATCGTTTATTCGTTTCTTCTGAGTTGCATCAGGAATTTTTTGTAGACACTGACGGCGTCTAACTCTCCGACTTCCCCTCGGCCTCGTTTATGCGAATTTCCGGTATCGGCCCGCACTCACTCGACTGCGACTCCCAAGAGTCGCGCGGCGCCTTCGATGATCTAAAGAATAATAAACAATGCGGATTTATAGAAAAATCGACGAGTAATACAAAATGTGAAGATCATTAATTTTGAAAGATAGAAGAAATCTCGTTCCAGATTTCATTATTTAAATGAACACCATTTTACATAAAAATCCGCAGTCTAAGAATGACCTATCAATTATCAACGATTACGTGCGATCACCTGGAATGAATTGGTCTTTTTTCAATATCACTTTGATGATCGTCTTGTTTCTCCAGTTCCGAGTCTGCCGGCCTGTCATCCATGTGTATCTCCACTGACAATGACTTTTCCGTTCCCGCTTCCGACTCTATAATTTCATTATCATCGTAATTTACAACGAGATTGCATTGATGATTTTCTTTCTAAAATTAATCGTTTCATTTTGAATAAAAATATTCACCTTTATTAGTTATCGCTGATCGTTTCGCTACGGCTGGCAGTACCTTTTTCCATTTTAGAAACGACAAATCTGTCATGTCTTCCCGTTTCTTCACTATCTTAAACAATTTCCGTCGCTCTTCCGTACGTTCGTGACGCAATTGTATCTGTATCAAAGAATTAATTTGTATAAAGTGCAAAACAGTTGAAAATCATTTTAAGTTTGATCACCTTTAAATCAGTATTAGCTTCTCTCAACGCGCCCGTAAGCGATATCATGTAATAAATGATCAGTGTCATTAGAACAATTAACGGGATCACCATTGCAGGTGATGCGATGTAATCGAGGCATCTGAAAGAAGCAACTCGTTCGAATATAAAACACAGAATATTGAATATTAAAGTTATTACTCGTTGATCAGATCTGGGAGCGAGTCTGTGAGTTGTCTTTTCACCAAATAATAAATTTTCTCATAACCAGAGAACGGGCCACAGTGCCACGATGGTTCCAACCAGACAATAGCATAACTGACAGGTAGCACGCATAGGAACAGCATCAGCAACAGCAGAGCGAAGTAAAAATTGTTAGACCTGCGAGCAATTCATTAAAAATACGAATACGTGAAGATGTTTATTTTGTATTAAATTGCAATTACCTGGAGGCACGAAAAACGACTTCGTGGGGGACGTTACAAGTGAGAACCGCCCAAGATCTCAGGTACATCAGAATCCCGAGTTTCAAGAGGTTCAGCGCGATCAGTCCGGGGCTGAAGAACATCCCCATCCACACCATCCCTTGATTATTCACTAGGTGAAGTATATTTTCAGCGATTTTGAAATCACCGTACTGTGGAAATTGTTTCTCCAGATCCCAGCACCAGAAGCTGTTCATGTATCGTACGAAAACTGCCCGGATGAAGTCTATACTGAGCGTGAAAACTATAGTGAGTATCTGTAATAAATGTCAACGTTTATTCTAACGATTGCAAGAGAATGTATATAAATTTATTTTCTTGTATAAAAATTTGTTGAACGGACTCACTAGGTCCATGACGGTGAGTTTGGCGAGCTCTTGCCCGAACATCGTCTCCCAACATAAGTGGCGAAGCTTTTTTCTCGTCTTCAAGTCTAACTCTTTCGACGAGAAGGATGTAAATGCAGATATCATTACTTTTATTATATATTATATATTTCTTATTATTTCGTTCATACCTGTAGTCGTGCAAACCTGCTCGAAACATCGGTCGTCATCATCCTTTTCTATGGATAAAGGAATCACGCCTTGCGAGGACGTCGATGTATCAATATTAGATACTCGATCACTGGTTCCTGTATTATATTCCTGAGTGGTGATCAACGATGACTCGGTGTTTGTACTCAACGTTGTAATTATCGAATATTCATACGTAGAACCAGTTTCCGACACAGGCGATGATGCACTTTTCACATTTGGAAAAGTTTCATTGGAATCTTCAGTAATACCAGACGTAGTCGTATTATAATTCCCACTCTCCGTTTCCCCATCGTAACTAGTAGTTTCATTAAAAAAATCGCTTGTGTTGTAATCAATGGAAGAAGACTCTGTGAAATTTTCAACTATAGTAGAGACGTCTGTATTTTCAATCAAATAAACTCCTTCTGTTGTGTCTTTTATAGAAACGTTCGTTTCGATATCGTCGTAGTCGTAGTAATCCAACGGTGGGTACTCGCCGACGTTGTAAATCTCCTCCAACGATTTCTCATCGAGTATCGGATTCAGATAAAAGTTCGTGGGCAAGAATAAAAACGATGACAGTGCTGAATAATTTAAACTGTCAGTCAACATTAAACATGTAAAAAGTGTATAAGAATACTTACTCGGTTTAGGAATTTCTCTGTTGTACTGAGTTCCAGTCACGTTACTCGCGAGGATCAGACTCAAGGATGCTAAAGTCACCAATTGACGTGATTTTTTCATACTGTCGTCGCACTTGATCGGTTTATACGTGCAATTCTTGATCGTCGACTGAATATCTCTCAGGTCCTCCTTCTATAAAAATAGTAATTATAAAATAAATAATAATTATTAAATATTAAATGTTAAAATATAAATTAAAATAAAATAAAAAATGTTAAAATAAAGAAATAATTCACAATCACAATACGATCATTTATTTATTCTCCACTTACCATTGAACCGATCTTGTCGAACAAGGCGAAGATCAAGCAGTACAGGTTCAGGAAATTCAGAGCCGTTATTCTAAAACGAATAAAATAAAAAAAAAACTTATTTTATTTTTTGTTATTCTGCTACACAGAACTGTATTAATTACTATTATTTATGTAGCAAAAACGGTTCTACTTATTAATAAAGTTAAATAATTTTAATCATCAAGAATTCCAATTTTTATTAGAGAAGATTTACCGGGCAAGTTGAAATTGTAGTTGCCTCCTGGGATGATAATTTTCCAACAGGCCTAATATCTCAAACAATATGGGGAACAGATACGTGATGAGAGACATCACGACTGTGATCTCGTTCTGATGCCACCAATCGTCCGGTATGTATTCTTTAGAGCTTCGCGTGACCACTTTTACCACAGCATACGCCGATAGTCCCAATAATAAGATTACCGAGGCGTTTACGAAAATTCTTATCGATATGATTTTCCAACTAGAGTTCAACAAACCAATAGTACATACCAATAATAAACCAATAATTATAATAAACTAATTGTAAAAACGAGAATATTAACTCCTTGACATACAAATAAAACAGAATATGATGCGCCCGAAAAATATTATCTAAATTCTGTTACTAATTAATACTAATTAAGCTCTTGACGTCTCCCAGGCGTGTCAAAGAGTTAAAAAAGGGCTTCTCACTTTCTTTCGTCTTTTTCCTTCTCGGCTTCTTCTAACAGAGCCTCCTTGAACCCAAGGACGATGCTGGCAGTCCGGTTATGCGCGGTCTCAGGATTCCCGATCATGAAGTCCCATCCTGTGAACAGTTTCCAGGAGAACACGTACTCGTCCTCTTTTTCAGTCAACTTGCTCAACCTGGAGTTCTTCGCCATTCTATAATTAACACCGTTCTCTCACAAGTATTGTAATTTTTATAATACAGTTCGATTCGCTTATTTTGCTCATTTACTTGCGAAGTATGGCGACGAAACTGTATATGTAAACGACCAGATTGGTAACGAAGTAAGCGAGGGGCAACCTGTAACCGCTGTGCGAATCCTGGTTCGTGTACCATCCGTAAAAAAACGGGGAGTATTTTAAGACACCCTCGAACTCCCATAAAGTCAGCAGGTGCTTCGACCTTATCTGCTCCTCCCTCAACATTATTTTTCTCTCGCCCGCCGCAGCTGGATCCGCCGTGAGCATCTGTTACAAACAGATTCCTTGAAGATTCCGGAGAAATTTCAAGCTTCGTAAAAAGCGTGCTGGTTATTATACAATTGACGCGAGTCAAAAATCAGAATTTGAATACGATTAATTCTGTAATAACCGAGACTGTCGAGTTTGAATTTGAAGTATACCTCCGGAACAGCGACGAAGGCGGTGAGAATGACAGTCATCACGAGATTGATCCAAAACAACCAGCGCAGGAACGTGAAATACGAAGCCACCGCGGAACCAAAGTGCGATTCTATCTCCTTTATGCGAACCTCCCACGGGACCAACCACGTTTGCAGATTCACTATCTCCCTCCGACAATATTGCCACTTCTGCGAATTAAACACTTTTCACTCCGCCCACGCACTATCTCTATTTTTTATTACTGATGACCACGTTTTATGTATTTATAAAAAAAATCGTATCACCTTCGTGATGAACAGAGAAACACGAGCGATCGCGTCTTTAGTACTGCGAGTGTGAGCCAGCCTCTCCTGAAGAACACCCTCGTGTCTCCTGACGTAAATCTTCGCCTGTCTCACCAACTTGATCTTGCGGCGAAGCGACCACGGCTGTTGCTTCACTCCGCTCAGAACCTCCTTGTGCATCTTCAGTTTCTCGAAAATCTGCTCCTGATTGTCACTCTCCTCTAAGGAAATCGCGGTTCTGCGCACATTTTCACAAACACGGTTTTCAATGAACCACTGAAATTTCTGATAGACGTCAATTAATTAGTTGCAGAGGTGTACTGACTCGCCGGAGCTGATGGTGTAGACGGAAGATCTCCGACGAAGGTTCGGATCGGCTTCCACGTTAAAAGGAGACGACGGACGACGTCTTCGTTTGCTCTGACGTCGACTGGAACTCCTTCGTAACATAATCTCGCACGCCGACGCCGAGTACTCATCCTCGTCTCCTTCTTCTAATTAATTAAAAGGCGAACTTCGACAATAGTTTATTATATTTATTAGTAAACCGCGGAATAAACGTTTAATAAATTTAACGAACGTCCCTTCTATTATTTAAATATCGATATTTTCTATAATTTTATATCCTGTAATTTTTGCATATTTAATTTTGTTATAAATATATAAATAAATTAATAGAACAAACCGGCTATTGATATTCTCTGCATATCCGTGTTCCCTTGTTGATGTTCCCTCTGGTTACCCTCGACGTCGTCTCCGCTGACGGCGAAGGTAACTGACAGACCGTCGACCGACGGCTGGGGAGAACAGAGTTCCATCTACGGTATCAGAAAGCTGACCAATTAGTTGCATGAACTCCGACTATAAATCATCCATCACGCTACACAGTTCACGCGCCTACGAATGCTATCGTCGAACTCGATCCGCGGTCTATTATAATGGTCACTTTAGATTCTTGAAAGAACGAAACCTACACGTTTACCTTGGTCAGACGTAACGAGGTTCAGAAAGTCAAAGTGGATGAGTTTTATTAGTCTAAAGGAGCACTGTTTCGGTTCTGTAGGTGAAACTGATTAGTGAATGGATTCGAATCGACTGTTATTGTGTCGATGAGAGATCTGGTCAACCCCTTGTTGAACCGCGCCTGTATCGGAGTCCTATACGTTCGCTTTAATGCTTGTTAGAACAGCGACATCGTCCACCTTAACAATCCTCGAAATCACGAAAGGCCGTAAATTAATGCCGAGTAGTAAACGCCTGCTCTGTTTATAATTGATTCATTACCACGCGTTGCTCACAGCTCAACTAGTTTCGTCGATCAATTGATTAATAAAATTCTTTACAGTCATTTCTATGATTTCATAAGACGTCGCAAGAGAGAAAGGAAATTCTTACTTCAGATTTTAATTACATAAATTATAAATTATAAGAGTTTGTAATTAATTTTTGATTCTTTTATTTCATCGTATTATAAATCTATGGATCGGTGATCTCCGGCGGAGTATCGATACGGATGATTTAAAAAAAGGAGGTCGCGTGCGACTTGCCGCGCCCTAACACCCATCGCGTTCACGTACAAATCGCATTCCTCACGTGACCCCACCCTTCGTTTTCCACATAATCATTCTTCTCCGAGACACACGAAAAACATCCCCTATTTTTTGCGTGCACTGTCTTCCCTTCCGATTAGATTCATAAGCAGTCACGGAACGCTTATTATTATCATTCATTTTTACGACACGCCTTGAAAGAAGAGTGCGTGTCCCCTTCCAGAAAAAAGAACAACAAAAATCATGCTTAATTAAATAATTGAACTCCTACCTACCATCGTTACTTAACAGATTTTAAATCCCCAAAACGATACACCCTTTATTATAATTTTTATTATATATTTAAACAGTAATATTAATTATAAATAATTAATTTGTTTATTAATATTCGTCAGTTTATGCTTATAGAAATTATTATACGTTGGACATCATGAGACACAGTCGATCACTCGTGCACGACTGACGTTGCCCTTTTCGAAAGTGACGAACGGCAGTGACAATAATTCGTGAGAATATCTGCCAAGGGATCCCGTTTCGCGAAACTAATTTGTTAATTAACGTCGGACACGTACCCCAGTCCGATTAATAAATTATCTAAGAATTTATCGAATCCGATAACAGTTTTTGTTCCGTTCACGCGAGGTCGTTAAAGTTTTTGCCGTCGATACATTTGCTAATTAAACGGATCGCAAGATGGAAAGATTATCGTTGATCGATTCCGATAGTTAATCATCTTCCAGGGAAATTGTTCTTAATTAACTTTCACCTTTTCAATGATCTCTTTATTCCGCGAACGTCATCGGTGTTGATTATTAATTTAAAACGTTACCTGCGAAGGAGACTGCAATGACGGTGACGTCACTCGAGATCGAGACGATCTCAAAATCCCAGAAATCTTCTCCCCCGATTTCTGCTTCCCGTTTTCCTCCATTTTTCGTTTTTAAATTCGTCGTTTGCTAAATCGAAAAGGAAATCCTGGTTCCCCGATTATTTATTATAAAAAGCGAATCGCAGTTACCAGAAATTACCGAGAATTTTTATTTAAATACACTTAGAAACTTTAATTTTACTCTCTCATTATTGCATTGTTTATTCCGATGGTTCGGTTTGTTAATACCAAAGGAATAGTCACTGTGGTACGAGACGCGTCTCTCTAAAACTGAATGGTTTCGACCGTTTCGCAGTCCAGCGATGAACTGGTTACTATGAATGCTGGAGAACCATAAACACTTTCAGAATAATGAACCACGCAGCATGATTACCTCAGGGATACTAAAAGTCGTTAACACGCATTCGTTTGCACGCTATTAACGACACCGAGAGTCAGGAATACGATTATTTATGAGAACTAAATGAATTCTGATTGCAGCCAGTTAAACGCATCGATTCTCATTTTTTCATTCACTGCCAAACAATGACAATTAATTAGTATAATTTTTTATACGTTTTTCGTCAGGATTTAGTTTAACAATAAATATAATGAATGAAGAGTAAATTTATTCATGTATCCTTCTAAGAACTTTATTGGATAAAGTTTACAAGAATTCAACAGTATCCTTACACACTGTTCCTTGTGTAAAATAATTCATGTTCAATAATATGTACAATTAACAACATCTTATATACACTCGTTTCTCACACTTCGTAAACTGCGCTCGTTTATAGAAAATAAACTCTCTCAGAAGCTCTACTACTTTTGGCACCGATTCGCCAGACTAGAAGACGCGCTATTACGATTTCATCGATTCGCGTGTATTCTTCAAGTCGAGGGAAGCTTAAAAACGACTATTTAGAATTATCACTTTCTCCCGTTGCATCTTCGTTTCCTACTCGTAGTTACTTCATAGAATTTTCGTACATTTGAAATTGTAAAGACTTATTCGAACGAACAAGAATCCTTCGAACTACCCTGCCTTAATTCTACTCAAATGGATGATATGTTCGCGTTTATACTAGACTTCTTCACTTGGTCGTGTGTCTGGCCCAGGTGGTTCTCTGCACTTCGGACATCAGGTCGTTCCTTGGAGGCAAACGAGCGCTGGTCGTGCGAGACGGTGGTGGCCCGGGTGTCCTTAGGATCGTCGCCAGACTCTTCTGACTTTTGCTCGTCCCGTTCGAGGCTTCTTTAGTTTGAGCTTGCTTCGCCGTTGTCTCTGAACGCTTGCCTTGAGGCGGTGGGTCCAGCACGATCGGTGGTATCTCGTCGTGCATACTCCCTCGGTCTTGCTTACCCTTCGCCTCTTGAATCATGTTCCTCTCGCCAGAACATGGTAGAGGTTTTATAAACGTGACTTTCGACTCCTCTGGGCTCACAGCGTAATTGTCTATCTTGTGCGTCATTATAGGCGACGATGAGAAGCTGTTCGGCTGAGAAATTCTTAACGACAGGGAACTCGGAGACAACTGGGCTGAATTCTGTAAATTCGAATCTGAATCGTATCTGTACTTCTCTAGACACTGACGGAAAACGTCTTGCACATACAAAGAAACGATTAAAGATTGCATGTTTATATAAAAGTTGATGATATTTTTTAAAAGGCATTTTCAACAATTGTTTCTTGTCTTACTGATAAAACGTTTTCTTCGCCGCCTGACCTGAACGCGATTTACTTACTACCGGTCGATTGTTTGGAGGCAGAAGGAGATTAGGGCCCATCGTGTATGGAGAGGGCGTGTTGTAAGGTGATCTTTGCGGCTGATAAGGGCTCAGATTATGCAGCCTCTCGAGGAGTTGCGTTTGAAACTGCAACTGATCGGCTGTGCTGCCGTTTCCCTGGATCCCCATTGTGTTTAGATTTCCAGGGTACAGAGAGTCGGGCGGATAAGTGCAGTACGGGGATGGTGGGTCCAGTTCCCACGGCGAAGTCTGTCCTCCTGTTCGCTGGCACTGTTCCCCGAGCAACCATAGTTCATTGACATCAAAGTATTAAACGATTACAAATTACGTAAGAGGTACAAAAGGAATTCAGTTCTTATCATAGAAGAAATCAGAAGGATAACTCGTTTAGATTTTATTTGGAGTTATTAAAATTGGAATATCCGGTTGGATATGAAATTTTGGTTTCTCGTTTAAATTGGCGTGGCACATGCTCCGCGGATTGAAAATTGGCAACGTTACCTAGCATTTGTTGGTAGCACAGAGTCCGTAGTCCCGTGCGAAGACCTGTTACATAACACCGTCACACCGGCGCTTAGCACGATTATTGGATTAGCGATTTAGCTTTAATGTCAGCATTAAATTGCTATCTTCCTGCCGAGCAATTTAGGACGAAACCGAGCGTCCCTCTATGTATACCGTTTTCGCGATGTTTCAACGCGCAACCGTTCATGCTTCCTTGAAAGGATTAAAAAGATCCTTTGTGACGTTCACACTTATTACTCACATCAAACGATTATTCTCTTACACAAAAGTGCTTGGTCCGATTCGAGCAATTCATCGTGTGTAAAAAAAGATCGTCGGTTTACATGCAAAAAAAAGAATCTGTACATTCAACGAGAACAAAACGCAATCGACTTATGCACGCGAGAGAATTGCTGCTTAAGAGTATAAACGAAAGTGGGTGTTGGGTGGGTGCGAAACATAAAAATGTGTGTAAATCGTTTTATTAATAAGTTCATAAAAAAATGCGTCAGTACAAAAGGCGTTACAGTATAAAAAAAAGAAACAAACAGGGGAAGTATGAGAGTACAGTGTGTTAAACGTTAATCGGAATGCAACAACGTTCGGGTACAGGTTCGCCGTGTCGAACACTCGTGTCACGGTATTCGGTAGAGCGTTACCTGGCCGAGGTTCGACAGATCGGGTACCGTAGTGGTTTGCTGCATCGTGGCCGAGCCAGGCATTTGGGACTGCGAGCTCACGTGCCCGCTCGAGATCCTCTCCTGTTCTCGGAGATGCCCGACGAGCGCACCTATGTGCTCCAGCAGCTCCTTGTTCTGCATTAACAACTGATGCGTCCTGGCCTGTGAACGAACAAACATGATCATCCTACCATTCGATACAAATTAAGCATTTATAATAATATTAATATATAATATTTCAAAGCATTTATTTTCTATTAATATCGTGATTACAAAAAAATCGATGAAATCTTCAAATTCCAATAATTCAGAAATAAATTGGAATTCTTAATCGTTAATCCGACAATTAAAAAATCTGCAACCGTAGTTCAGATAAAATGGATTTCTCGTTCGTTGCGTTTCGATGTCGCATAAGCAGTTTGACAAATGATTATAAGTATCCTCTACAACATGTCCGACGGGTATCGTGCGACTATACGAGTATCGCGTGTCGCGTACCTGAGCTTCAACACGAGCCGCCGTCTCGGCCGCAAGCTGATCCTGAAGAAGTCGCGCATGGGCGACGGCTGCTCTGGTCTGTTGGCTCTGTTGCTCTAATCGCTCGCGAAGCAATTGAATCTCATGCTTCAGAGCGGTCAACTCTCCACCGACCAATAATCCTCCGCAATCGGAAGTAACCGTGCCCTGTAAAACGAAGTTCAATGTAAATTCGTATGAAATGCGTCGTTTTAAAAGGCAATTTAAAAAATCGTTCGTACCGATGGCGATTGTCTAATGGGCGAGGTAGACGCTGTGGTCGCCGGGGCCTCGTGCGACCTCAGGAGACACGGAACTGTCGTCTGTTCCTGCACCGACTCCTCCGGGTCTCCCAAAAGCGATATATCTGAAATGTGAGAAAAATCAAATATATCTCGACTCTATTTAATTTATTCTCAATGCAAGAGGAAAATGAAGATATTGAGAAGGTTCCTAAATATTTAAGGGACACACCTTTGTGCACGGAAGACGGGGATGGCTGGGATTGCTCGTTGGGTGCTTCGTCCTGATCCTCGTAAACGTCGCGATGATTCTCACCGTGGTCTCTCTCCCTGTCTTTGTCGCCGCGGTCCTCCGTCGCGTTGTTTATACTTAATTTATGGCACACCTCGAACGCCTGTCCTACCGTCCTGACCACCCTCATTGCTTGACTCTAACGAAATCCAACTCTTTCAATTGAACGTACGAGTAAGTACACTATGTAAATTGATACACAAAAATGAAAGACGTCAAACTTCAAGTATAAAGAAAGTAAATGTCTGTTCGAGCGATGAGTGAAATTCCAGATATACAGTCTCCACGGACACTGAACAGCAAAACCTAAGAATATTCAAACGCCACGAAACCACAAACATTCCACAATTCTAAACTTAAACCGAGCGAACTCCATTTACCCAATACCCGAACTCAACAATATCCCATCACCCGAATCAAGCTATCATCCAACACAAGGAAGTTACTATCGATAATAGAATAAACAACCAGATTTTGATGAAATTTGGTATACTACTAGCTACAGTTTTTAAAAAGCCCTGGTCTCACAGATCGAAGGTGGCTATGAAAAAACTCATTAGAAATGTATCTTTACTTATAGAATTCCCTTAATTACTCAATCGTTTGAAGTACAGAAGGTCTCAAAAACACGGTACAAGCTTCCTGTCGATGTAAGTACTCTTTCAAGGAAAGGAACGGAGACAGTGAACGGAGTATGAAAGTAAAGGGTTCGTGAATAACTGGCAGGACGTCTAATAATTTATTCCACGTTTTCCCTTGTCTCTACCGCGACGTCCCGCGGCTCTGCTTTTTTGTCGCGTCGGCCACAGGAGCGGGTACACCTTACCCCATAAACGGCGTTATTCGCAGGCGTACACCATTTACCTCGAGCTCCTCGAGGTCATCGTTCTCCTCCTCGAAGGGGTTCTCATCGAAGCTGAAATCGACGCTCGAACGCGTCAGCTGCGGCTGCGGCGGCGACGGTTTCGACTTGCCGAACGGTTTTTTCAGCTTCAGGTAATTAAATATTTCAGGCTCCTTGAACGAGAGTTTCTTCCTCGGCTTCGGGGTGGTCTCGACTACACCGGAAGGGTTGGTCGGACCGGAACCCGGCGACGCCTCGCTGCCCGCTTGCCTCGAATTCTTCAGCATCGTTCTACGTGTCCTGCCTTCTTAATCAATCTTTACTTTTCACCTTCTTCTACTTATCTACGGTATAAACTCATGCTCGCTCTTATCTCGGTCGGTCTTATTCAACTTAATTAACTACCTGCAACTATATTCAGTTTTCCTAATCTCATTGCTCGATATCACTGTTACATCGTTCTAAAATTTAATAAAAAAAATTTTCTACAGAGAAAGAGAGTCTATTTTTTATGCGACACACACTACTTCTCTGCGATATAAACTCATGCTCGCTCTTATCTCGGTTGGTCGTATTCAACTTAATTAACTACCTGCAACTATATTCAGTTTTCCTAATCTCATTGCTCGATATCACTGTTACATCGTTCTAAAATTTAATAAAAAAAATTTTCTATAGAGAAAGAGAGTCTATTTTTTATGCGACACACAACTGACTCGTTTATTGTGTATATAAATAACGCTAAATTCTACAATACTATTCTTCCACCGATTTGAACCCGGCCCAAATACACGTTTCGGATACAAGAATCGATATCTGCGTGTTGTAACGGTACACAACCGGACGATTCCATTTATAAACAGACGTGGCGTGGACCACTGGCGAAATCCGGCGATAAATCTCGGCGTTGCTTTAGAAACTATTACGGATCCGCGATCGTTAAGCCCCGCGAGAGTTTATTTACTCCACGGCGTGCAACCCGGGACGGCAGCGGCGACGATCCACGCGCGTTTCACCCCGCGGGATTAATCTCGGAACCTGTAAATCTTCCTCTTAACATAACTCATCCAGCTTTTTGTCTACCGCGTACACACGGTCGTTAACACCGGCCGGGGTATTACATATTGATCTACTTTTTGCGACCAGTTTCTCTCAGCTCGTCGACTCTCTTGGCTTCCTTTCCAAAAGAAAACTCAACCCGGTATCCTCCGTGCTTATTCCGCTCGAACCTCTTCCTCTTCTCGTTTACTGATATGAACTCTCGTTAAATGACTAAAAATGAAAATCGTTAGAGATATTGGAAATTCAACATGGAAAAGATTATCGACGTTCGTAAAAGGATTGATCGCACGCGAAGATGTAAGGAAGATATCGACAGTGAACGCTGGCAATTACAATATGTATACGAGCAGCGATGCGTCTTTTAAACGGGATCGCGTGCGCTCGATGAAGGGGAACGCGTGTTATCAGCTCGTCGGTTAATCGCCAGGGAGCACGTTAAACCCGCGTTACGCACGCTCGTCTAATCACGCGCGACTCGTCCGTTATCACTAATGGGCCGACGTCCGGGGTCAAGTTCGAGATTTATAAACGACCGGATTTACTGACCAAACGTCGACTCTTTTACAAATTAATCTTTCTTTAATAGCTTAATTATAAGATGTAACATTTTGTATAAATTTGTTTGAATAAGTTTAGACAAAAAAAAAAACGAGACGTAATACCGATTTATATAGATTTATCAGGTTCGATTGATCGACGCTGGAAATAAGCGAGGTCGTTCGGAAAGGTCTTCGTTCTTTTTTCGCGTCAATTATTATGGGAACCAGGGACTCCCCGGCCGATAAGTTCAAGGAGAGAACTGATTAACTCGGTTAGAAAATCCGGTAGAAGAGGATCGGTGAAACGAAACTGGAACACGTGGTCTCTAAGCTAAATAACTGAAAACGTTCATCGTTCGATATTTCAGAATCTATATTTTTTCGTTAGATCGAAAATAGCAAAAGAAAATATGCACTCTTCATAAAACGATGAGCAAACGTTTTGAAAAGTCCGGTTCAGTGATAAACCGATGCGCTGCTGAGGATGATGAAACACGGATTTCTATCGATCATCCAGTTACCCTTGATCGGTGTATTATTTCAACAGGCGGAAACAGAATCGTGAGAAATCAAAGGTCCCCCCCTGAACGCCTCATTTCTCGAAAGCTCTCCATAAATATTTGCCAGTTTCGCGGAATGATCGCGATCCACCGTCGTAAGTTTTCATGACCTCGTTACAATCGCTCCGTACGTTAACAGGTCTCGGCTCAAAGAAAATCCTATCTTTTTTTTAAAAAAGAAATCTTAATATCCGATCTTTGATGTCGACGTTTCAATAAAATTTAATGCAGGCGGAAATCGATTAAAGATTCGTTTGAAAAAGGATTTATCATCGCGAGTCTCTCGATTATAACAGGAATCAAGTGCACGAAGCTCGGCGCGTGACGATCCTCGAGATAAGAGCGGAAAGGGGGTGGAAAAATAGTCGCAGAATCCACGACAATGATAAATATTACCGGTACGCTGAAACGGTGTCGCATCGATCATTCGGGATTAGCTCCGTGTTCATTTATCATTTTTATAGCCATTTAACGTTTCGACTGTTTACACACCGCTTCGGAAACGGGCAAATGGACCATCGATAATTCATTTTTCTTCACGACTGAACTACACACGCGACGTGGACCGTCGAGAGAACTCCTAAGAACGAAGTCTCGTTTTCTCTTCACATCATTTTTCTCCTCCTCTTCACTTCTTTCCCGAGATCAACACCCCTTGCTTACTTCCTCTCCTCGAGTCATTACCTCACACTAGTTTACTGGCCACGAATCAAACGAATATTTGTCATTGTTCACTCTCGTTCCCCCCAAACCGTTTTTACACTCCAGTCCTACTACGAAGCTCATTTATCATGTTCGATTCGTCGAGTCACGCGCACACAGAAACGGTAACGCGAATGCGTGTAACATGCGTGCTCATCTCATCTCGAAATACTCGAAAACGTCGAGTGTATCGCGTCGTGGCGCGACGGCCAGGTGGAGCGGAACTAAAGCGTCGCGCGAGCGGAGGCCGAAGCGTCGCGACGCCACGCACAACACACGCCCGCGCCCGCTCTGTTAGTTGGATTTTTCCTACCGGTTTATTTATAAGCGCATTAATATTTCCCGTTTCGTGCCGCTGAACGGCGTTCCCGAACCGATAAGAACACGTGCCCGGCGGACGAGAGCCAGGATCCTCCCGCTATCTTCGGTGGCTGCAGCTCCTCGAAACGTTAAATATTCTAATTATTTTAGTAAATCGATCATTTCGTTCTTCATTGGTCAATCACTCTCGTATTTTTTTATTCCATTCCTTTTCTTCTCGAATCGTTGCCCTCCCTCGTTCTTCATTCCACCTGCAAACTTCTTCTCATTGAATCAATGTTCTTCGACCGTCAACGACCTCGCACGATTGCACTTCGTTCGTCTTCATCGTTCGGCCTCCCAGCTTCGTCTTCTGTACTTTAATTTCGTTACGGCAATTACAGTCCCGCGAATATTCTTTCCCGGCGACTCGATTCGTTCCTTTCAGGCTGCTCTGTCCGTTTGAAACCACACCATTCTAATAGAATCCATAATTTCATCGATCTTCGACTCGATTGAAATTGTAGTCTCGCTATTTCTTCCCACCCCACCGTCTTTCGTCATAGCTGACCAGGGTCTGCGCGTTTTCTTCGACGACCGAGCCGGTACCTGACCCCCCCCCCTGCCCCTACCCTCCCGCCATTTCGAGAGACGAAACGAGATAGGCGAAAAGAGAGAGAGTCAGAGAGAGAGAGAGAGAGAGTTTAGAGTACCTCGACGCGGCACTGGCACGGCCGAGCTTTCAGAACGCGGAAAGCAACGCTTGAAATTCGCCCGTTTGCGTTCCGCTGTTCCCGTCTCGAGCATCCTTCACCCGGAGCCGGGTAATTCGGTCGACCGATTCTACTCGCTACATCCTCGCCGCGTTTCTACGCTCGCGTTCCGCGTACCGCGATAACGAGACGCGTTACACGCGCGCTGCATCGATGAGAAATTGCAGACGTAGACCTCTGCCTCTCTCTCTCTCTCCGTTTGAAATCTGTACGAATTTCAAGAGAATATCTCGCGAATTCGTTTAGAATCCCAAGCAAAAGTCTGTTTAATTCAATTTTTTAGTTATCACCCGCTGAAGCTATTCCATCCGGAACTTCTCTCATTTTCTCTATGAGAGATGAAAGCTTTTCAGAACGATTTAATTCATTCGCGGAATGGCATAGGCAAGTACGTATTTTTAGCAGGCAAAAACAGCGAGGGAGAGGAGGTCGACGGTTGAATTATGTGAATTATACAGGATGTACCAGAAAAAGTGTTGAAGCCGAAGAGTGGTGATTTTGTAAGTGTTTCTGAACAACAATTTCCTTTGGCAAAATGTAAAGTGAGGCATGGTTTTTAAATTATTAACGAAAAACGCTGACCAATGAAGGCGCGTTTAGGGCCCGCGCTGTGCCACGGCCGAGAGTTACGATTCGAACCAACCTATCCGTGGCTGGACGCGGGCCCTACGCGTGTTCTCATTAGTCAGTGTTTTTCGTTAATAATTCAAAAACCATTTCTCACTTTACATTTTGCCAAAGGAAATTGCTGTTCAGAAACACCTCTAGTATTACCCCTTTTCGGCTGTAACACTTTTTCTGGGACACCCTGTATAATTCTCGCAATGGTGCCTCGTGTTTGTTTCCTGGACACGACAAATCCCGGTTCCGTGAAACTCTAGAACGAGCCTTGAACTTTACCGAACGACCAAACACGATCCTCGAACGTTGCTACACCGCCGTTTGTGTAACGAATTTAGTTCTCTGTTTAATCATCGCCCGGAACGCGTTACGCTCAAACACCTCGGCTCGGTTTTAGATCAATAAAACAACGCCACTTACTCCGGGTGAAAAAGAGAAATAAAATAAACTTGTCGATGTTTATGTCTCTGCTTGTAAGAAAATGAAACCGGTTGACGTATTCTTTAAATAATTGCAAGTAGACAGAGGGAGAATAATTCACCGGCGGACTGATTTAAGCTGTGCCCCCGCCAGGTTGCTGTTATATATTTTCGGTGGTTTATAATTTATGCGCGAGAACGATGTGAGATCGGAAATATTTTTAAAACCGCGGCTTATTACCGGTAGCCCTCTGTAAACCGAGGCTGTATAAGTTAAAATTAACACCTTGACAACGCGTATGACGCACGGACCCGGCCTGCTCCGTTCGTTGTAGGTACATGATACGATACCCAGTTGTCCGAGTTTAAATATCGATGAGAACCACGAAACCCAACCGATCATGTTTACTTTTAACAAAAAAAAGCACGACTCTATTGGCAATTTAAGGATTTATAGACTATGTACTTAATTTGCATGTAATCTTATGGTAATCACTTTTCCCGTAGGTAATAGCAGTACCTATAACTTTCATTTGAAACATTCTTCGATATTTTGCGAAAAAAAAAATTTTCAATTTTTCCGAGATTTTTCCAAGGGGTACCCCTTCAGATTTTGCGAAATTTTCGTTTTTTGCCAATAACTTCTAAACCGTTGGAGATATGGAAAAATTGCATAAGAGCTTTCTTGTAG